TTTTCTCCAAAACACTTCTACTTTTTGTCAAAAACCATTTTTTACTCCTATTTTTTCTTTCCCTACTTATCACATCATATTTTTTTCACTAATAAGCTATACTCCATCCGTTCCCAGTTTGATTACAAAATTTTTCTCTTTCCTCTCGATAACTTTTGTTTGTTTACGCGATTTTATTAATATTTGATAAAATAAAATATTCTTGTAACCTATTGTTTTGCAAAACTTTTAACGTAGTTTTTTAATATGTAATTTTTACTTCTTATCGATATACCGATTTATAAATAAAATGATTTCAAGAATTGAGATATTTCTTCTCGTAAATTTCAATTTGTAATCAAATTGGGAACAAAGGGAGTATATGACATTTTACTTTTACCTATAACATTAAGAGTAAAATTGGAAGTCAACCACAAATATACACTCTTTATTATATCCTTATTTCTTCTTAAAATCAAAATAGAAACCGTTTTATGAAACAGATAAAATAGTTTTCTTTACAAATTTACTCGTTATATATTTTGAGTGATTTTTTATGAGATGAGGGTAGGATGTTGATAAAAAAGAATGGTCAACGGATGAAAATATTAGGTAGTTGTTGCACATCGCATCTACGCCTCTACGGAGCATATGGCTAACCTAGCCGAGGCTAGCACGTCTTGCTACGAGTCTATACCAAAAAAAGTATACAAGTACAAACTACAAACTTTTCTACTGAATGAAATTAAAAATGCTTATCATTTAAAAAATTCAAAGTACAAAAGTTTGTGTTGAAAAAAATTAATACTCCCTCCATCCTAAAACTTTTTTCTCGTTGCGCAAAACGAAGAAAAATTCCAAGTTTTTTCAATCTATTTTATTTAAATATTGGTATAGAAATAAAAAATAAAACATACATATTTAAAAACTACATCAAAAGTTCAACAAAACAAGTAGTGACAAGAATATTTTATTTTATCATATAGGCCATGAAAAAATACAAATAAATATAAATTCCTGTGAAGTTGGAATAGTGCTATGGAAAGAAATTTTAAGACGGATGGAGTATTACAAAACACAAATTTGTCAAGTTAAATGGAAAAAGGTTCTTCTTGTTATTTACTAAACGTAAAAAAATTAAGCAAAAAAATTACTTTGAAAAGAAGGCAAACTTAGCGTTGAGTTGGGAGAAAACCCACGTGGGATGCCAACTCAATACTGGATTACCAAAATACTCTCCCGTCCCTGAATATTTGTCACACTTATATTCCCGAGGTAAAATATTAAGTTTTTTTAATTTATTTTATTTACATATTGGTATAGAAATAAAAAATAGAATTTACATATCAAAAATTTACATGAAAAGTTTTTCGAAATAAGAGGTGTCAAGAATATTTTATTTTATCAAATAACCAATGAAAACGTAGAAATAAACAAAAGTTCTCACGACGGCTGAAAAAGCAAATGTTGTAAATATTTTGGGACGGAGGGAGTATGTCAATTTCGACCAGGGGTATCAGTTTGTTATAATTTTTAAAATTGGGGTATGATTTTATAGAAATCATCCTAAATAGGACTAAAACATAGAGAAAAGTACCAAAATAGGATTTTCATGTTTTTTTCCCGGAATAAGACTTTACACTGTGGTAATGTGACTTTGCATTGTGGTAATGTGGCAGTGTACATGTGCAAATAATTATACTTTTTTGGCAATGTATATGACCACGTTTGGTAATGTAAGTCCTATTTCGGGAATAAAAACATGGAAGTCCTATTTTGGTATATTTTCAATGTTTTAGTCCTACTTTGGTCTTTCTCCCATTATTTTATTACAAACAAAAGATATTATAATTGTTTGTTACAATGGACCATGCTAGGGTACCACCACATGGGTGCTACCATGGGTGCACCCATGCTTCGCACCGATAAACACAGACGATAATTGTCTGTGTCGCACAGACAATTATCGTCTGTGTTTGTCTGTGCGAATCATGGGTGCACCCATGGTAGCACCCATGTGGTGGCACCCTAGCATTTTCCTTGTTAGAATATCCAAAGTTAGGGTATCTTCATTGAAAACAAGCGCATTATATCTACGATACTCTCAAAAAAATAATATCATTATATTTGATACACATATTTGTGCCAATAAAGTTATTTCAAGAATTTTTTGTCCCTAACATGTTCAAGTACATTTTTTGCTTCTTCCACGGCCAATTCACGAATCTCTAGTTTGAATACGTCTTGAAAAATGTGAAAGACTAATGTAACTAAAAACTTAAACTTGTAATTGTAGCCTTGTAGGGCCAAGAAATGTTTTAGAGAGTCTAATTTATACTCCAACATGTCACCTAACGTGCAGGCCAGATTTGTGTTTGCTCGAGCAAGGCACTGATACCATATGAGGTCCTGAAGAATTCAACTCAACCAAAAATTCACGTTTCTTGTTGTAAGCCTACAAATTTTTTTATATTGTGTAGCATTCAATATTGTAGCAAAAATCAAGTTTTTAGCACTATAGTAATGCACAAATATGAATATGGAAAATGTTTTTCTCGACTAGTATTATTATATACGGGCCGGGGGCGAGTAACTTTATTTTAGTGTGTGATCAATTGTAGAGGAACCTGGTTAAAGTTCATCTCTGGAGTCTGGATCGATCTCTTGTTTTTTTTTTGGTCGCAAAACCCAACAAAGATCGTAGGGTTGGATTTTGTGTCATGTGCTTTGGGAGACCATGCCACTACTACTAGCCACCCCTACCATATTATGCCTTTCATCTTTTCATAGCCCTCCCTCCTTCAATCATCATTCATCAATCCCCATTCACATGCTTTTCTCTTACCCTTTTTTTTTCTGTTTTAAAATTACCCTTATTTACCTTTACCACAAGTCATGCTTTATATAATTACTCCCCCCTCCTTACAAAATTGAACACATCGGATATACTTTTTTCGTCCCTAAATCATTTTCTCTGTACGCAAAACAAAACAAAATTTCAAATTTTTTCAATTCATTTTATTCATACACTGTTATATAAATAAAAACGAAATGGTTCTTTTGAACTTAGATACTCTGGTCATATTATGACCCCAAGGCCCCTACGTACGGTACTCTGTTCGTAAAATTGATGGTTCATACCCTCTAACCCATGCCCCTACCTCGTCGCTTTTATTAAACCGTCAGGTTAGCGTTAAGGTTTCCTTCTTTCCTATATAAGGAGATGTAACGAGCCCCCTTTAGAGTTAATCAAGTAATAGACAAACCAAACCTTAATTACTTTCCTCCCTCGGTTCGCCGATTTGCTCCTTCGCCCCAAAGCTTCTTCTTTTTCCTCGTCTCATATTCTCAAGAGTTTAAAACGCTATGAGTCTTCCCTATCCGATACGGGTTCGAATCACCATCCCACCACAGCACCTCCTCCTCCATTTCGCCGATTGGCTCAGCGAAATAGGGGAGGGGAGGCAGAGGTTAGTCGGGGATGTCTCAATAAATATTACTCCATCAAACCCCGGCCCGCTTAAATCATACCCAAATTGCCCGACTGTGTGGCATACATAATACTTGTGGGTAACTTAGAAATCGAAATTAGTGCTTTATTTTTTGTTTCTTGACAATTTTATTAAATAAAATTAAATGAGAAAATATAGAATTTTGTATTTTGCGACAAATATTTTGGATTTGTTATTTTGTACTCCCTTCGTCCCTAAATATTTTACAACATTTGCTTTTTCAACAGTCGCAGGAACTTTTGTTTATTTCGACGTTTTCATTGGTTATTTGATAAAATAAAATATTCTTGACAGCTCTTATTTCGAAGAACTTTTCTTGTAGTTTTTTTATATGTAATTTTTTTTGTTTCTATACCAATATATAAATAAAATGAAATGAAAAACTCAATATTTTGCCCGTGAATACAATTTTGACAAATAATTTTGAATTCCGTACTAAACTGGAGAAGAGAGTGGGAGAGGCCAGTCATGTCCACACACACACATAAAATGCATTAATTAATGCACGAACAAGAACCAACTTTTTGACCAGTAGTAGTACCTAGCGTAGCGGGGCGCCATGTTTTTGGACCCCCACCTCATGCTCTCATAAAAAAGCCAGCCATGGATACCTAATGATTTTTCTTTTTTTACCTTGGAAGAGAAAATTAGGTTGAAAAAAGAAAATTCAAAGTTAGAAAACAAGGGGATATGATGAGTGAATACTCCTTATTGTGATTGGGAAGATGAAGTAAAATACAAGGGATAAAATAAAATACCCCCTCACTGCTTTTTGATAATTTTATTTTATTGTATATTTTTATTTATAATTTGATAAAATGCAATATTCTTGCCACTTCTCGTTTTATAGAGTTTTTTTATATGTTTTTAAATGATATAATTTATACTTTTCAAATCTATACTGCTTTATAATTAAAATAATTTTAGAAATGATGAATTTTGCACGTTGTTTGAAATGTGGTATCCAGTATGAGACGGAGGGAGTATATATTTATTTCTTTTAACTTTTCATCTTAGAATGAGAGAAAAATTGAAGTTATAAATTGTTTTACATTCACCTTAATAGTTAAAACATGAAATAAATTTTTTTTCCTTATATCCTAAAATTTCAAAATAAACGAACGAAAAATATTTTTGTTACGTTCTTCTAAATTTTCCATGATTATTTTCTTCTCTAAAAAAGTTAATGTGAACAAACCATCATCATACCAACCTCAAATCTTAAAGGTCTATTTATCTTCCTCATTTAATTTTCACAAAGTTTATAAATATTGAAATTAAAAACGAAAAGTGAATGATTAAATTTGATGAGAAGTTAATACATTTTATCCACATTATTCTTTTCTTCTAAAAAATAAAATTATTTTTAACCGTCAAAAAAGAAATGAAAGATAAATATTTTATGATGGAATAAGTGTACGAAATGTTCAAAGAGAAAATAAGAATTTAAATTAGGAAAGGATAGTAATATATCATTGAGATGGATATTTATTTATTTCGCGTTAAGCATCCAATTAATATAATTAATTACCTCCAAGCCAATAATAATAAGTTAACACTATTAAAAATGGAAATACATCGAATCGGGTCTGAATTTATTTAATCATTACAAAATTAACCCGCTCGCAATGGCTCGATTGGTGCCGAGATTTGTGGTTTCGTACACCGGCAACTCCTCGCCGTACCTCTGCATACCGACGGCCGAAAGATTTTCCAGCTCAAACAGATCGGAGCTCGCGTAACTGTCGGCGTCGTCGTCCTCGTCTTCCTCGTACACTTTAAGGTTCTTTATCACGTTGTTGTTCCTCGTCAGGCCGAATTCCTTTTCCACTTTCTTCTGGTACGTCCTCAGCAAGTCCCTCGCCGCCGCCTCCGCCCGCCGGTTCTTCTCTGTTTGGACGGGCACGTCGAGGTTTTTGTGCCCGCACGGGCGGTTGTCCTCGTCGACGATCACGCTCACCGGGTAAAACCTCACCGATCGTTTCACGGCAGAGGAAGGCGCGACGGCGGTGCTTGTGGTGGTGCTTTTGCTCAGGCAGGACCGCGAGTAGGAGGAAGCGGAGGAGCACGCGGAGGCATTGAGGGATTTCGCCCGTCTGTCCTCGTCGGAGCCGGCGGCGGAGGAGAGTTTCCCCTTCCTGGCCGTGAACAGAGAGTTCAAGAAACTGGCTAATCTCCCGCCGGGGGAAATCGGCTGCTTCACCTTTTTCAGATCGCCAGAGATCTTCCGAGCTCTTGACTTCTTGGTCGTCGTCTTCCCCTTCCCAGGATGCTCGCTGCCGGTGCGGACCGGTTTCGGTCTCCCCCGGTGCAGGCCGTAACACGACGGACCTGCCGGAACGCCGGAAACCGGCTCCAACTCGGACGACGAGAAGACGCCGGAGCTCGAATCAGAGGAGCCGCTGGAGCTAGAATTCCACATTCTACTCAGCTTCCTGTCCACCTCCACCGCAGAGTTCCGGCGAGCCACGGCACGCTCCTCCCCAGTCCACCTCTCAATCCTCCCGAACCCCTCGCCATCTTCGCGGCCGGCATTCCTCCCCTTCGAAACAGAGCCCCTGCCGCCGCCGCCACCATTACTGTTATTATTACCCTGTTTCTTCCTCATGGTATCCCTGCAATCAACCCCGAGCTCCTCCGTGCGGCCCTCAATGGAGCGATAAACGGAGTCAAGCAGAGAGGAGGAGAAAGAAGGGACGGAATTAGAGTGGGAGAGCTCTGCGTCTCTCCTTCGGATGAAACCGGCATAGTAGGCGTCCATGTCTATATAGGAAGCAGAGCAGAGTGGGGAACTGATGATGAATGATTGACGGGAGAGTAAATATAAAAAAGAGAGAAACAAAAAAGCTGCAAATTAATTAAAGAGAGGCAGGGGAAGGAAAAGGGGGGGAAATGATGGAGAATAAAACAGGGGGAGATGGGAATGGAATAAGGAAGGAGGAGACAGGAGGCATCATTGTGGCAGAAATGGTGGGTTCAATCCCTTCATTTCTCTTGCTCCGCCGCAGCGCTGCCGGATTTAATGGCAGCAGCTAAATTACAGTGACAGCACGCCGGTTAAGATTAAGATTGTTTTAGAGAGAGAAACAGAGGAAATGAGAGATTGGTGTGAAATGATTGCGGGTGTTTCTTG